TTGAACCCCAGAGGCGGAGGTTGCAGTGAGCCGAGATTGCGCCATTGCACTCCAGCCTGGCCACAGAGTGAGACTCCATCTCAAAAAAAAAAAAAAAAATCACTTAACATCCGCAAAACGAGGAATAACTAAGCATCTGTCCATTTGACAGGAAGCCAGAGGGGCGGATGGGTACCAGGCAGGGGCTTGAGAAAGAGCCTCCTCAGGTGGACGTGGGGGCAGGAACGTCGCCGTGTGTTCAGGGCCAGGAAGGAGCCTGGTGGGACGCAGCAGCCGCGGTTGGAGGAACGGGCTGGTGGGGAAGCGGGTGGGGTCATCGCGGAGCCCACGGGGCTGCAGGGGCTGGGCCCGGTGTCCTCCAGTCCTCGGAAGATCGCATGGAGGTTTAGGAGGCGTCCGTTTTCTCCCCCGTGGTCTCTACATTTCCAGAATGATTTGTAAATACTTCTTTTGCCGGTCAACAGAGCTTTCCGTTCCATTTTTAAACACACCTGCCTTTCCAGCAAGTCTGGGGCCTCCTGAGGCTGAAGCCCGTCTCCCGTCTGCAGCCCGGTGCGCGGGGCTCGGGGCTCGCGTGGCCTCGCAGGGGGAGCGCGGGGCGCCCCTGTGTTTGGAGGGTGAGCCGAGGGTGGTCGTGGGGGAGGAAGCCAAGTAAAGGGGGAGGCGCCCAGGGCCGGATGCACGTCGGGGGAGCGGTGCTTGAGCTCGGGTGCCCCGGGCCGCCTCCTCTTCCGCCTGGCACCCGCCGTCCCGGGCCGCCCCACGCGCGTCCGCGGAGCCTCCCTCCTCGCCGCCGTCCCGAGTCGCCCCACGCGAGGCTTTTCCAGGTGCCCCGCCTGGACCGAGCCGGAGTTCCTGGGTCCCCCACCCCCAGCTTCTCCTCCGCGGCAGGTGCGGGCCGACTTTTCTCCGCAAGGTGGTCCCGGGACTCCGCACTGGGAGCTGAGTGGGTGGGGGCCGCGCGTCCTCTCCCTGCCCGTCTCGCGCGGGGGCAGATCTGGGGGCCTCGGAGGTCACGGCCCAGATTGCCTTTGCGTGGGGTGAGACGGGAGACCCCGGGGCTGGGGCAGGAGAGGCGCCGTCCCCAGAGATTTATCTGCCGGGCTTTGCTCGGGTGCGGGGAGAAGTGACCGCGAGGCCTCAGAGGTGCTGGGAAGGTGGAACCCACGGGACCTGTGGTGCCGCGCGTGGGGCTGAGCGGACAGGAGGCTTCGCGGGGAGCCCTGGAAGGTGGGCCTGGGGCCAGGCTGCGGGGTGCTATGGGCTGGGTGATGAGGTGCCAGGTGAGGGGAGTGGGGCGGTGCCCAGGTGTGGAGGGCTGGGCGGTCCCCTGCTGAGGGGGTCAGGACGGTGCCCAGGTTAGGTGGAGGAGGTGCACAGGTGAGGGGGGGTGGGGTGGTGCCCAGGTGTGGGCAAGGAGTGGTATCCAGGTGCCCAGGTGCTGTGCCCAGGTGCAACTTGGCTGCAGGAGCCAAGTGATGAGGGTGCTGTGTGGGGAGAGGCGAACTGATTTCTGCAAGAGAAAGTAAACTTCCTTCTTCCATGCAGATGAATAAGATAGAATTAATTATATAGATTATAATTATCTAGTTATAGAGATAAGAATGCTTTTTATTCTTTAGTTAAGGGCTCCCAGTTAAAACTAGCTGAAAACAATGACAGTTAAATTCTATATTATGAGATGTTGGCTACTTATTAAATTCATTATCAAAAATATATACATACATATTTGCAGTCCAATTGCATTTCATAGAGCACAGACCTGAGCAGCACCCAGCAAGGGCAAGTGTGCACGAGACACTTGTTCCGCAATTTTGTACCTTTCTGTTTCTAATGGCCCAACTGGTCAAATGTGGCAGGGCGATCATGAACCTCATACAACAGCAGAAGTGCTGGAAATTTTAACTATTTAATTTTAGGCTTAGACTTAGCTATAAATGCTTTCTGATTAGAAGTTCTGTCTTTTCCTTGAATGATTTCACCTCATTTCGTTTTATGAAGTCTCCATTCAGTCATGAATATCTTCCCCAAAGTACCTTTGTAAATCATTTTTTTAAAATGCTGCAGTTTACTTGTGACAAGCTATAAACTGTATTTGAATTTTTAGGTTAAGTAAGAAACCCATTTTAACTAATATTGCAACAAAAAAAAACGGAACAGTTCCAAGAAAAAGAGGATAAAGTACTTGTTATTCTAGTGATAATACAACTGAGTAAGAAAGATTTTCTTTTTCCTTTTTAGTCTTGAGTTCATGAGCTTAGGGAAAGCAGGCTTCCCTCTGCTTCTGGCAGCCTTGGCCATGGGGTCTTCACTCTCCTGTTTGGGCCTCACCTTGCAGGGACTCCTCACCTTACAGGGACTCCTCACCTTGCAGGGACTCCTCACCTTGCAGGGGCCATCCATTCCACTCACCTTCCAGTATCAGCCCAGGCCTCCTGTCTTCCCCTTCTCAGGCCCTCCTGGTGGGATCCCATCGCATCCCCTGCCTCCACTGTCATCTGCTCCACGTGATATCTCCAGGGGGACCTCTCTGCTGGGCTCCAGGCCGCATAGCTGTGGGTAAGGCACCTCCCTTTGCACGACTTGTCTCCTGTTCTGGTGTGGAGCTCACAGCCCTCTGGCCTAGACATGGGGCTCTTGCAGTGGCCCCTGGTTTAGCCTCCACATCCCATCCACCCAGCTGCTCACGTCACACACCTGGGCCTCATCCTTGATACGTTTTACTGAATCCACCCTATGTGATGACTTGAATCCTGCGGGTTCTCTCTCTTGAATGTGTCCTGAATCTGCCCTTTTCTCTCTGCTGCCCGTGGGCTAGGTGGCCAGCATGATGTCCCACCAGGACCCCTGCAGTCCTAGCGCACCCGCCTGGTCATCCGGGGACCTGTTCTCACTGCCTGCTGCCTGCACTGTGTGGAAGGATAGAGGCTAAACGAGGAAGCCCGGAACTCTGGTCTCATGGACATGGCAGCCTGCCCACCACCCACGCCTGCCCGGCCTTTCTTCACGCAGCGCGTAAGACTCTTTTAAAAATACAAGTATTATCCTGTCCTGTTGATGAGTCAAATGATCCCTCACAGTCCTGGTCTTGGAAGCCCCTGGGGCCTGCTCGTGGGCATCCTCTGTCAGTGTGGGTGTGGGTGATGGAGGCTGGGGTGTGTGGCTGGCAGTCTTGACCAGGTGGGTGTGCATTTGGCCACAGAGCTCAGATGCAGGGCTGTGGCTCCAGCGCTGGTGGTCGGGGTGAGGGTAGAGAGTAACACAGAAGCCATGGCACTCTCTGGCCTAAGCCACTTATTCCAAAGTAGGAAACAATCTTCTACATGAGGTCAAGGGGAAGGCTAGGAAGAGGGGGAGTGAGAGAAGAGGAACAGGAAGCAATAGACCTTGGGAGGCTTTGGCGGGTCCTCTTTATTCTGCAGGTGAAGGAAGGTAACAGAGGTTCTTTGTCACGGAGTTACTAGAATCAGGTTTGTGTGTAGGTAGACAACCCTGAAATTAAAGCAGGTTTCTTGCAGAGGGGAGTGTGTAGCCGCAGCCCTAGGGAGCTCAGCAGCTGCCCCTTCCGCAGGCATCACAGGGGCTTGGAGAGCTGGAAATTGCCCGGTGGGACTGGATTCCTAATTCTGTGTGAGTCATAAGCCCTCAGGCAACTTCCAGACTGAGGAAGCTGCGGTGCATTGGTGGAGGGAACGTGGGAGGAGGTGAAGGCTGGGGAGAGAAGGGGGGCCTTTGGAGGCTGATGTTGAAGACAAGCTTGGCTTTGGCCTTTTGCGTCGATGCTGGTGAAGATTTTCAGGGCCTCCCTCCCTGCACCCGCTTGTACGTGTTGAAGATCCAGTCCTAGAGCAAATGCATGGGGAAAATAAAATACACAGTCCCTGTCTTCAGGGGACTTGAGGCCTCATCAGGATAGGAGGTCGGCACACGTGAAATAAATAGGAACATGCGAACGTGTGCCTGGGTGCTAAGTCCGCAGTGCTGGGTTTCTTGATGTCTGTTACCTGGAAGATGTAAAGGAACAGAAGAAGCCTTTCTTAGACATAAAATGCATTTGTAAGGTGGAATCTACTCTTTGCTTACTTCAAGATGCATTAAAAAAATGGACATCATCCTTATAAATCCCCTAATCCACAAATGAGTAGTAATGGTATATAACACTGGGGAAACGTTATTCCTGGTGTGTAGTGGGAAAAAAAATTACTTTATCTCTAGATGGTAGTTATTTTAGAATTTTCTAAAAACGTTTCCTGGTTTCACGTTGCCCTTTTTCTGTGGTTTGTAGTTAAAACGTGGAGAGCGGAATCTTCTGGGCCCAGGTAACACACCTTTGCTCCGACATTCCCTTCACTACTCACTGGCGAGCTCAGTTGGAAATTCGCTCCCAGTAGGAGTTCCGCAGCAGATACATGGTGAGTCCCGGCAGAACTTCGTCTTTTAATTGCAGAATGTTAAAGAAAAAGTCACTCAGGTAGCAAAGATTGGCTTTTCAGGGGCGATTTTATGGAGCTATTAACTCCGAGACACCATTACTTAAATGTAATTTTTATTATTACAATTAAAGACTGATTTGATTTTATGAGATCATGCATTTTTATTTTATGGAAGTTTTATAGTTAAATTCAATTTAAAACATTACTCTGTATTTAAAATAAAATATAAGCAAGTACAGTGTTAAAATTATACCATACTTCTCTTGCAACTGATGTTAAAACTCCATGCAAGTGATCACTTTGGTAGAAACAAATGTTTCCTGATACAGCTAGGTAATAACTCAAGGAAAGTAAACTTGGTTCATTCTGTTTGTGAAGTTACCAGCAGTTGTCGGCGTATTTAAGATACCAAGTCTAATTAAGTTTATTGTCAATTTTTTTGTGTGTGAAACATAAACGTTGATTTCCTCTCAGTTGATTCTTGGAGGAAGGAATTTCTTTGGGTCAAAGGGAGCTCTCACTGCTACTTCAGTGTTTGCAGTGTGAAGAGTTGTAAAAGCTGAGACTAGCCACTCAAAATGCGAGCTTCTGGTCCTGACATTTCACAGAGAGAGGGAGGCTCGTGAACCGACTAAGACATGGTTGTGCGGCTAAGATTTCTGTAGCTATGATGCTGCCATCCAGGCCGACTTAAGACGGGAAGTTTCCATGTGAGTTTCTGGAAGGTTTTGGGGTTTTGTTTTTGATGAAGGAAAAGAATGTGAAAGAGTGTTTGCACCAAATAGATTAAGCTGTTAGTAAACATGCACCCTTTAAATTAACTGATGAGAAGGACAAAGAAGGTGCTTTGTCGTTGTCAACTGGATTTGTCTGAAGTCACAGAGGCAAACAGGTGAAGGGGCAGTCCCTCTTCAACTCCCTAATGGAAAGCAGAGATCAAACCGTGCAATGAGGAGAAGTTGAATTGGATTCTTCCTCCCATTTATTTTGGCAAAAGCTTGCTCTTCTTTCTCTCACTTGCTTTTCTTGCTGGGGGAAGCCTGGTTTTTCCAGAATCAAATTAGCATAGGGACAAATATTGCTCAGGAATGTGCGTCCTTTCAAGATCCTCAGCGCTTGTGATGAGTAAGTCTCTGTGTAGTAAGTGGCTGGAGACACATCCGTGTGGCAACCCCCGCTTCTCGGCTGGACTGGGGGATAATTAATCTCACTCTTAGCACTGCTGAACAGACAGCACTGTTCAGAGTCAGGGACGATGGGTGGGCCGGGCCCTTACAAGAGACTGTCCTTAAATCGGGTGCTGGCTTCTTGTCAGCACGTTGCTTTAGTCACTTCTGCCTTCACTCTTTATAAAACACAGAAAAGAAAGGATAGTAGGTTTACAGGGGACTATTTTGGTCCTGGGAAGAGAATGCAAAGCCCGAAGGAATCCTAAAGAAGGAGAAATGGGGTAGAGACCCAAGGGAAAGGAGTCGGCCTGTCCTAGGAGCAGGTGGCCAGGTTACCTTTTCAGCAGTTTTCGTTTGCAAAATATGAGTGTCTGGGTTTAAGCTGGCATGTGTCAGAGAAATGCAAAAGAGCCAGTATGGAAATTTAAGATTGGGTGCTGAGTTTCTTCTTTTGGTAGAGTTTTGTTTTGTTTTGTTTTTGTTTTTGTTTTTGGGATAGTGACTTCTAGTAACTAAGCAGAGTTAGGGTTGTATTTGCTCTTCAGAGTTGGGGTTTACCATCAGAGGTTGAATGCGATAGTAAGGAGGTAGAGGTGTCCCGGGGTGCAGTTTTCAGACATGGTATGACACCCCTCTTAGGAGTCCTCCAAAGCAGGTGCCTCTGCCAGGCGAGCCTTAGGTGGACGCTGGTCAGAGAACCACAGGGGTCTCAGCTGTGAAGGGATTGAGTGGACCAGACAGGCTGACCGTGGTGCTCAGGCCTCCACTGCAAAGTTACCAGAATTCTGCAGGAATGGGTTGTTGTCTTAGCGCTCATTAAACCAGTCAGGCAGCGGGTGACCATCACGGGTGTGGACCCTGGGAGCCAACGTGCCGGCTGGTGTGGGGGCCTTGGCACTCGGGCTTATGATTTATGTGCCCAGCTCACACGTGTCAGCTGCAACCATTTCACTCGAGTGTTGGGGCCTAGAAAGCAAAGACTGTGTCTTGTTCTTTTGTGGATTCTGGGACTTTTCTAACCTAAGATTCCTCCGTCCTAGTGTGGCCATATTCGTGGAGGGGGCGGTTATGAGTATGAAACGAGGTAACAGTAGTGTTTACACACTGTTGGTGAGGATGTAAATTAGTGCAACCTCTATGGAAAACAGTATGGAGGCCGGGCGCATATAACAAACACATATTAACAGCATCAAGCGTAGCGCTTTCTAGAGGCTCCCTGAAGACGCCCGTGCCCCTTCCCACATCAGAACTGCTCAGGCACTTCCCCAAGGGCTCTGCCATTTTGCACTGTCCTCACCTAACGGCTGGACCTATAGTGGCAAACCAAATTTGACCAATTATGATTTGGCACTGTCCTTACTTCTTAACGCTCACGACCCGGACTGAGAACTTGGAACTGGCCACCTCTCACTAATGATTCTGTGACTGGCTCACAACGACCTGTGATGGGAAGGGCACAGGTGAGGGCTCAGTGCCCAGAGCAAGCCCCTTTGTGCTGCTTAACTGCTGTCTAAGTGACGCCTCTTCCCTCTGAAAGGCCTGGTGGCTATTAAGGTGCGCAGATAATGAGAGCGGGTGGTGGAGTCTCCCAGCCAGGCACGGAGCTCAGAGCCTCTTCCGGGCACACAGTGAGGCTGCACTGCCCAGGGCCCCTTTCAGCTATGCGAGGCCACTGAGTCCTCACCAGTGGGGTCTGAGTGGGAGTGATGTGGGCTGCTGCTGGCCTGCACGGGGACACTTCTCTCGGGCAATGTTTTTTTTTTTTTTAAATAGTATAAATGTATGGAGTACAGGTGTGGTGTTGGGACGTGCACATATTGCATAGTGGTGAAGACTAGGCTGTTAGTGGAACCGCCATCCAAATAGTTTACAAAGAAGCCATTAAGTCATGTTTAAATCTTCCACCTCCCTCCTGCCCCTGCCCTTCCGAGGCTCCAGTGTCTGTCATTGCACTCTCGGCTACCATGTGGACACTTCCTCTAGTTCACACATATGAGTGAGAACATGTGGTATTTGGCTTTTGAGTTGTTTCCCTTAAGATAATGACCTCCATATGTGTGTGTGTATATATACACACACACACACACACACATATATATACACACACCACATTGTTTCATCCTCTCCTCTGTTGATGGATACTTAGGTTCACTCCACATCTTTGCTATTGTGAATAATGCTGCTGTAAACATACGCGTGCAGATATCTTTTTGATATGGTTTATTTTCCTTTGGATCGACACTCAGTAGTGGATTGCTAGATTGAATGGTAGTTCCACTTTTAGTCCTTTGGATCGAAACTCAGTAGTGGGATTGCTGGATTGAATGGTAGTTCTACTTTTAGTTCTTGGAGAAATCTCCGTGCTGTTTTTCATTTTGTTTTTTCAGACAGAGTCTCGCCCTATCGCCCAGGCTGGAGTGCAATGGCGTGATCTCGGCTCACTGCAAACTCCACCTCCCAGGGTCAAGCAATTCTCATGCCTCAGCCTCCCAAGTAGCTGGGATTATAGGTGTGTACCACCATGCCTGGCTAATTTTTGCAGTTTTAGTGGAGATGGGGTTTCACCACGTTGGCCAGGTTGGTCTCAAACTCCTGCGCTCAAGCGATCCTCCCACCTTGGCCTCCTGAATTTCTGGGATTACAGGCATGAGTCACTGCTCCCGGCCTCCATACTGTTTTCCATAGACGTTGCACTAATTTACATCCTCACCAACAGTGTGTAAACATTCTCTTTTTTCCACATCCTTGCCAACATCTGTTATTTTTGTCTTTTAAGCAATAGCCATTCTGACTGGTATAAGATGGTATCTAATTGTGATTTTAATTTACATTTCTCTGATTAGCGATGAGCATTTTTTCATATGCTAGTTGGCCATTTGTATGACTTCTTTTGAAAAACGTCTATTTTTGTCCTTTGCCTGCTTTTTTAATGGGCTTATTTTTGTTTTTGTTAGTTGTTTGAATTCCTTGTAAATTCTGGATATCAGTCCCTGGTTGGATGCATTGTTTGCAAATATTTTCTACCATTCTGCAGGTTATCTGTTTACTCTGTTGATGATTTCTTTTGCTGTACAGAAGCTTTTTAGTTTAATTAAGTCCCATTTGTCTATTTTTGCTTTAGTTGTTTCTGCATTTGAGGTCTTAGGCATAAATTCTTTTTCTAGACCAAAGTCTAGAAGAGTTTTCCCTAGGTTTTCTTCCAGTATTTTTAGTTTCAGGTCTTACATGTAAGTCTTTAATCCATCTTGAGTTGACTTTTTTGTTGTTGTTTTTGTTTTGAGGCAGCTGTCTCAACTCACTGCAACCTCCGCCTCCCGGGTTCAAATGATTCTCCTGCCTCTGCCTCCTGAGTAGCTGGGATTACAGGTGCCCACCACCACGCCTGGCTAAGTTTTGTATTTTTTTTTTTTTAGTAGAGATGGGGTTTCACCATGTTAGCCAGGCTTGTCTCAAAATCCTGAGCTCAAGTGATCTGCCTGCCTCCGCCTTCCAAATTGCTGGGGTTACAGGTGTGAGGCACCATGCCTGGCCTTTAGTTAATTTTTGTATATGGTGAGCGATAGGGGTCCAGTTTCTTTTTTCTGCATATGGCAATCCAATTTTCCCAACACCATTTATTGAAAAGAATATCCTTTCCCCAGTTTATGTTTTTGTTGCCTTTGTGAACAGTTGGCTGTAGATATATGGCTTTATTTCTGAGTTTTCTATTCTGTTCCATTGATCTATGTGTCTGTTTTTATACCAGTGCCATGCTGTTTTGGTAACTATAGCCTTGTAGTATAATTTGAAGTCAGGTAATGTAATGCCTCCAGCTTTGTTCTTTTTGCTTAGGATTGCTTTGGCTGTTCATATTCTTTGGTGGTTCTATATAACTTTTAGGATTTTTTTTTCTAAGACTGTGAAAAATGACATTGATATTTTGATAGGGTATAATGAGTCTGTAGATTGCTGTAGGCAGTATGGTCTTTTTAACAATATTAATCTTAACATCCATGAGCATGGGATGTTTTTGCGTTTGTTCGTGTCATCTGCAATTTCTTTCATCAGTGTGTGGTAGTTTTCCTTGTAGCGATCTTTCACCTCCTTGGTTAAATATATTCCTAGGTATTCTGTTTTATTTGTAGCTATTGTAAATGGGATTGTCTTGGGCAATCCCTTTACTCTCTCCCAGTTTCCAGGTAGATGTTGACCCCCTGGGAAACCTTGGAAGCCACACATTGATGATGGCAGAACCTCCATTAGCTTGAGTCTTGAAATAACAGTGTAGGGGGTAGCTCTCCCCAACCCACCCCTCCATTGCCAGTCATGGGGCATAGCTCCCCACAACCCACCCCTTAATTGCCAGCCATGGGGCATAGCACCCCCTAACTCACCCCTCAATTGCCAGCCATGAGACATAGCACCCCCACCTTGCCCATCAATTGCCAGTCATGGTTCATAGTGCCCTGGAACCCATCCCTCAACTGCTGGTCATGACAGAATATCCACACTGGACTTGTGGTTTGAGAGAAAAATAAAAATTTTGTCTTGTTAAGCTATTT